AAATTGGGCCGTAAACGCTGACACGAAGCTGAGGAGAAAATTACTCCCGCTGTCGACGTCACACACATCCCTGAGCAGATTTGTCTTCCCCGCTGTGAATGCTGAGCTGGCACCCATGTAACCATAAGCGTTTACTCGCTACTTTTCAAACGTTCGAAAACTAGGCGAAGATATCGAGCGCCTATTAGCAGCGAGATGTTTCGGTGGCGCCCTCGTTCGGCTACCTTTCGTGACGTCATTTCCTTGTGGACAACCAGTTCGATGGTGTTTGTAATGGGCATGGTGGAAGTCTGCAATCCTAGCTCTCTCAAAGCAGCCCTGCCAACACCGACAAAATTGAAGTTCTTACGTTCCTCTTATTTCCGTCGATGAGACATCCTTTGCTGACGTCATAGTCAGCATTCGGCCAATTGTGGTGGGCCGACCACAGCGACGCTTTCGATCGCTCACGTCGCCTATGCCCCAAACTTCTGAGCCGACCTGGTAACCGCGGATGCCGCTTCTCCGAGCACACCGGTGCAAACGGTGAAGCTTGACGTGGGCGCGTCGTTGCAAAGCGCTGGATTCCACCCTATCATGTGACCCTTCTGCATTTTTGCTCTTCCACATAAGAAACGCGAATTCCACAATTTTTTTTATATGTATATTTTGGGTGGGCGCTTACTTTGTTATTTTATGGTAGGAGGGGACATGCCACTGACTTCTTAAAACTTAGTAAGAATTAAAAAAAGAAATACAAAAGCTTTATCATGCAAAGACACAAAATGTGAGGAGCCCAACGAGAAGGTTCTTCCTTTTATAGTGAAGTCCCGAGCAAAAGTGGATGCCGTGAGAGGTTGAAGTGCCCTTCTGACCTGCTTTTCGTCACCATGGCGTTCCGGAAGCGTTTGTATCCACATCCATGGCCGAGAGCCGGCGGTCATTCGGTTTATGACCCGGGAGGTTCGTCGTGGGCACTTTATCTTGGCATTTCTGGGGTGGAAAATGGGGTTATCTCATAGGCCGCAGATTTATAGACACATGGCACTCCCGCGTGCACACTGAATTTCACGCTCCCTTATCTTAGGACCTATTACTGGGAGCTAATTGTGTCATAAGAAAGAGAAGCGAAACGCCGGCAGGCTTGGGAGCCGGTTTCGTCACTTCACATACTGAGTCGAATGCAAGCATTAGATAAGCTACTGGTGATTTTCGACGTTATTTTTTTTTTAACCTATACTTTCGCAAGCTTTGTTTTTAGACCACCAGCTTAGAGCACGGCACGGACCCGGGCCAGCCCAAAACCCCGAGCCCGGCCGGGCCCGCGGGCCGGGCTCGGGCCTGGTAGCTCGTATTTTCTCGGGCCCGGGCCGGGCTCGGGCTTGAACCAAAGGGTTTTCGGGCCGCGCCGGCCCGGGCCGGCCCTGGACAGTCGTGTGCGGTAAATTCTAAATTGTTGATAATAAAAAGTTTGCTCATTCATCTTTTAGGTTCATTGAAAACAAAAAAAGGGGAAGTGCAAAGTCACTTCAGCGCCGTTCACAATAACAAAAAGGCGTCTCGCAGTTAGAAAGCCTTCAAGAGGATAAAAGAAAATGTATCGGCTCCACCAGCATAGTGGGAGAGTGCGGGCAAGAAAAAGAGGACACTCCGGTCGCAAGGTACAACAGAATTGTATTTTTCCTCTGCTTTTCAAACTAAAAAAAGAAGAAAAAACGTTACCTCGAGTTTGTACTTTCTGCGGGGGCCTTACTATTCCAGCAAAGACAAGCTAACGTACCCTAGATATATTTTTGTTTGTTTACTTAGCCTTTTGAACATGTACTAGCGAGGTTGTGACTGTCTCTTCTTTTATTCTAGAATCTTTCCGGGTTTGAAAGGACCAATAGAATCGACCTCTTTCCTGCCTGTGTTACCAACCGTCCAATAGGAAACAGACGCTTGACGAGTCCATCTTTCCGGAGAAACTTTCCTTGTATTATCATTCATTTTCTATACTGCCAATTTCTGTCCCTGTGGCAGCAATGGAAGGTGGTGCGCCAATATCGACAATCGGCGAGCTTGGCATCACCTGCGCTCTACAAACCTGTTGAGAAGACAAACTTTAAGAGCTCTGTATGGGATAAACTTTATCACAGCCGTGGACTCCAGAACGTCGATGCCCACAGGACATGTTCAGTGTCGCTCGTTCAAAGACCGGGGTGTCTCATTTCAGTTGTCACAAGTGCAAGGTTTTATTGAACAGCGCAAGCATTTCTTCGTTTTTATCACCTCAATGCGCTGAACCTCCCGTGCCCGCGGACGTAGAGGAGAAAGTGACAACCGCCTGCGTGAAATATATCCATGCTTAAGTCCGCCTGCTCTCAGTTCGAGAAAATACAAGCTCTACTGGAGTCAAGGAACAATCCAGTGATGGAAAGTGTGAACAAGACAACACTTAACGAGTTAATCGTGTTTCTGCAAACCTTCAAAGGTGCTAGCGACGCGCTCGAGGTAGAAAAACGTCCAACACTGCCTCTGGTTGTACTTTACACTTCCGCGTTGAAGAACCATCTTGAACATGCTCCGGTGTCTGTAGTAGAGGCAGTGGAAATCGAGAAGATCAAGGTCCGTGCTCGTCATTTCCTGGACACGAAGCTGAAAATTTCTCTCCTCTACAAGACCGTCGCATTTCTCTGGCCTCAGTTCCGCCAACGTCAGAGAGCTACTTACCCATGTCACTGAAGCCATGACCCAAGGCGAAGATGAGACTGACGATGACGTTCGAGATCCCGCCTCGAAAAGAAGGTGCCTGGGTTTGTTTCAAGACTGGTGTGACGCGGAGGATGACAATGTAGCCATCGACGAATTGGAGGAGTATCTGCACGGCAAGAAGGACTTCTCGTGCTCAGGAGTGTTTGAGCTTTGTGAATTCGGGAGAGCTCAGGAGAAGGAATTCTCGAAACTGTGCCTTCTATCCAAACGCATACTGTGCATGCCTGAGTGCTAGAAGCGAAAGGAACTTTAGCGCGGAGGGCTACGTCATGCAAGGAAGGCGGACCTGCCTGAAGAAAGAGTCAATGGACAATTTATTGTTTCTCCTCAAAACCATGTAGGAAGGAAAATTTTTTTGTGAAACGAATTGAATGGAACAACAAAAATTGCAATATCTTTTCACGAAATTTATAAATAAAGAATTCCTTTCTTTTGTCTTCCAAATTCTCCGTGTGCCATGAGTTCAAAGACTGTCGCCAATGATGTGCATATTTCGCTCATATTCTCTCAAATACATCTTCTAAGCCGGAATATGTATGGTGTAAAAAAAAATCTCGGTCCCAGTTTTCCAACGCTGGCCGGGCTCGGGCTCATATTTTAATATTTTATTGGGCTCGGGCCGGGCCCGGGCCGTGTTTCTACCGGGCCAGATCGAGTTGAGCCTAGAAATTCCGGCCCGTGCAGTGTTCTACACCAACTATATGCTCGATGAAAATCAGATTGGCTCAAGAAAGCCGGCGAGCAAACCTGAGTGTCATGACGCCTTTCTGTTCTCTACAGCCGCTAGGAGCCGTCGATTCCGCACAAGTCGCCAACATTTTGTTTCTTGCTTCTTGTATACAACGGTACCTAAGCTACTGACGATCGTGGCATGTGGCTCATCTATAGACCGGCACAATGTTTACAAACAAGTCAGCGCTTGCCCACAACAGGTGTGGGAACTGAACGTGCGCGGAAACCAGATTTGCGTGAAAGGAACCCTGTGCGCATGCGCAGTAGCGACAACAGCGCCACCGCAGAGACGTGACGTCACAGGCGCGTGTTAGTGTATACTCCGTTTCACACCAAGTCCGATAGCATCTGAAAGACAAAAGCCGATGGAGTTCATCAAGCAGCGAAAAAGGTGTATGGTGACGGCAGTCGTCGTTTTTGTGTGTTTTCTTATACCAGCCAAACCAGTAAGGCACAGAAAAAGAAAGTGTAGGAATATAAGTTTATTGGTTTATTGGTTATTTGTTGGTTTAGCCGGGGATATCAATCGCACAGATCGCCGGCAGCGGTTGAACTTAGAGGGAAAAGGACAGGACGACGTCTCAGAAATGAAGATATAAGTCGAAGGAACAGAAAAGGACAGGACGACGTCTCAAAAGACGTCGTCCGATCCTTTTCTGTTCCTTCGACTTATATGTTCATTTCTGTCCCAGTCTCAGGTTTATTCAACAAGGGAAGGAGTATGGCGTCTCGTTCGCGCGAGAGTGCATGCAAATCAAACGCCCTAAGTCAAGACACAGCGCTCGCGCCGGTAGCCTTTGACAAAGATGCACAATGAGTTTGAAAACGAAGTGCAGTATCTTCTCAAATCCGAAGAGAGGCTTTTTTTTTTTTTTTTTTTCGACTGTCTCCCGTACAACACTGCACTGAGAAAAAAAGTTGGCAGCAATTTTGTGCTTAGTTCACGGCTATCGTCCTGCGGCAGAGTCCGCGCGACCAACTCTCACGACGGCCTTATCGAGATACTACGACATCCGCTTTCCCTCGGACTTTCGAGGGAGAAAAGCGGCCGCCGCTGTCTTTCCGTCTCTGTCAATGGAAACGTCACGAGGCAAGCACGGTTCCTTGAGCGTCTTAGGCTTGGCGCGACTCTGCCCTCTGTAGTTACAGTTCCACCAGGTCCTGATGCTAGTGATCAGCCGCTGGCCATACTGGGTCGCAACTAGGTCGTGCTGTTCACTGTCCATTGCTAGTACAAGCCAGAATTGTGCTGGTGGTTAATTTCCTTGGAGCAAGTGAACTCTGAAGAAGACTGTACCAGAAGCGGCATTGTTCCGAACATATTGCCCATATTTTAACGTCAACATATCTGAAAATCAGACTGTCCTTGATCCTCGAGTGAACAGTCCAACTCTGTAGGATCTTGAAGACTGTACCAGGAGCGGCATTGTCCTGACCACAGTGCCGATAGTCCAACCTCAACAAATGTGAAAACCAGACTGATCCTCGCGTGAACAGTCCAACTCTAAAAACTCTACAAGATTGTACCAGGGGCGATGGACGTCACCAGCGTCATCGGGGACTACGGCAAGTTCCAGAGGAACATCTTCATGTTCTGTCTGTTGAGAGGTTTCCCAACCGGCCTTCACCTGGTGGTGTACACTTTCTTTTTTCCGGCGGTAGAGCACTGGTGTGCTCCGCCAGACGAACTCATTGGTAATGTGACAGTGGACCAGTGGAAGGCAATGGCACTACCCTATGAGACTGGCATTGGAGGTGACATTCGTTACAGCAGCTGTCTCATGTTTCCGGTGAAGCGCGTTGGATCTGAGCTCGTGGCCCTTGAAAACATCACGGTCGCCTGCGAGAGATGGGAGTACGGCGAGACCTTCTACCGGCATTCTCTCGTCCAAGAGGTAGGTAGAACGTGGTGAATGCCTCGTGGCTTTTATCGATGCGATCTCGAGTCTTCCGCTTGTCCTTTCGGGTAGCCGATACCATATCTCGCGATTGATTGTAGTCCGAATATGGCGCTTCAGAGCAGACGAAGACGTCTTTGGGGACGGTTGTTGCATTATTTGTGCGTTTCGCATCCGCCTTTGGTCTATCGCCAAAGTCCGGCGAGCTCGCTTTTGCAGGGGTGTGATTTATGACGCACGAACTATGCATTTTTAAAAAAAGACTCGCTTTCTTTTCATTTGAGTGGTATACATACATGTAGATATATATTCAATAAGTTTTATACCTGATTCACACGATCATAAAAGTAAATTTATCGCCGGCGGCGAATCAGCTCGCGATCCTCCGTTCCTGGCAGGTGGAAAGCGATATATGTATGATGGCCGTCTGAATGGGGTGCAAGTAGAATATATGTATGCGTGCATATGCCACTGAAATGAGACAAAGGCCCTCGTCCGACCAGAGTGACAGGTAGCAGACAATTTTGGCACACATACAACATGTTAGGAAAATTTTTTTTGAACGTTTGTACGTTATTGACGCGACATCAACTGGATATGTTTGTAAGCAAGGGGCACTGCAAAAGATTTTCCGGGTCGCGGAAAAAACTTTTTTTTCTCAACAAGCAAACACACAATAAAGCGCTGCTTATACACATAGTACAAAAAACAGCCTGCAAACAAATTTGAACGCGAGTTACAGCGAGATCCCTGCTTCGAAGGCCGCACGGCGACGCGTTACAGGAGAAAACTCGACACGCGGCATTCGAACCGCGGTTATTCTGGTGGCTTGTGTTTGCAGGCTGCCTTCTGCGTGTTGTATGGGCAGTGTGACCCCGGTTTTAAGGGTGGCCTTGAGCATGTCACGTGGCGAGTCCATCATAGAAAGGACAATCTGAAGAGACTGCCTGATTTTTATCGCATAACGATCATTTTACATTGGACACGGAAAAGCTATCTGTGGACATGTCCGAAGGATACGTGTATGGGTAGCTAAACATGCTTGAAACATGCTGAGACATGTCCACAGGTGTTTCTGTCGTCAAGCCTAAGAAAGTACCGTGTGCTTTGTATGATGTGCGAGCAGTGTGAATGGTAAAGATGCACTGCAAGAGTCGGCGGCGATTAAACTCGCTGCCGTGTTTTTCGGCACCTGTGTATAGTGGGACTTGGTCTGCGCCAGGGCGTGGACACGGTCTCTCGTCCAGAGCGCCACCATGGCTGGAATGCTTGTGGGCACCCTGGTCTGCTCCAGCCTGGGAGACAGGTGAGCCAGCTGCCGTTGTTTGTTTAGACGAAATCGGGAAATCGGAACGTCAAAACAAGCGAAAAGTATCAATCATCATCCGAGTTTTTCGTACCGTCGCGGTCCTGTACCTTGCACGTGTGGTAACTTAAGCGCACCCCCAACGCTTCCCCGACGAGCTTTGGAATTCTCTTAAATTGACTAATTTAGTGATTCGATATGACACTCGGTAAGTTTTTTAATTAAAACAAAAGTGTCCATTTTTCACAAGTAGAAAGTTGATCAGAAAATTTCGTTCTATTTGACCTATGGTGGCGTTTAGCGCACCGGCATTATGTCCCTCTAGCCGTATATAGCCCACTTGTTTAGAGCCCATCAATGCTTTTCTTAAAACTTTTTTGTTCAAATCTGTTCGAATTAAAATTAGACATCCTGTATAATGTAGCACGACATCTATATATCACTAGTTGCAATTTCTGATTACATGTATCTGTATATATATATATTGTATCCGTCACCCCTTTTCCCACTTTCATGCTCTCACCCCCATGTAAAGCCGGGGCTATACTGCTGATTCATGATACCAAAAAACAGTCTGTAAACACTGTCTCCAGCGTGTTTTTTTTTTTTTTTATGATCGTCATGTTACACTGAGCAGGCGTGTCCGAAGCCTATACAAACGTATGGAGCAAACATGGTTTCGAACCTCTCCGAGGTGTGTCCGGCGGACAGGCCTAGTTCTGTCATCATGTCCTCAAAGAACACCGTGTCTTTTCTTCGATGTATACGAGCAGTCTGGCTGCGGCTTAAAACTAGATGTCTTTCGGCTAATACAAATGGAATGAAAATACACCGAATGCTTTTTCCGCGCAGGTTGGGGCGTCGACCACTGGTCATCGTTTCCCTCGCCCTCAGCCTTCTCGGCGGCCTCGCAGTCTCGGTGTCCCCGTCCTTCTTGTTCCTTCTGGTCTCGAGGTCCCTGGTAGGCCTAGGACTGGGCCTAGGACAGGCGTCCTGTTTCTGCCTACGTAAGGGCGATGCGATTTTTCTTTTTTTATTGTACGAGCTGTATTTATTATGGCTTTACGTATTTCTTTAAAGAAAGCCGTAAAAGCTTGACCGATCTCTGCAGGTGAGATTTAACGGCCAAGAGGAAATAGTGCGGGGAGTGGTAACTTTAGCGCACTGCCGCGCTTCCAAAGCGCTAAAGTATATTCAAAATATACATATTTAAAAGTTTTTTTATGACGTTGAGCAAGTGTGTAATTGAAAGCACATGTTTATTTTCACTAAAGTAAAAGTTGATGATTAATCTGTTCATTATTCGACTTATCGAGACGATTAGCACCCTCTGCTATGTCCCCGTGGCCGTATAACTTACTACCGGTAAAGACCACATTGGTGTAGCCTTTACAGCTTTTCTAATAAAACAAATCTGGAAAACCTAAAAAAAAACACCCTGTATATAGGGTTTCAACTTTTTTTTTTTTGCCAAAACTTTAAAAAATAAATCAAGCTGGCCCACGCTATCAGCGTGGAACCAAAGCTGTAGTGTTCACGGCCCTGCAAGTTCAGATATAAATCTTTTTTTTTTCTGTATCAAACTTGTTAATTAATAAAAATTAATTGTCTAAGGTTTTGAATGTACTGAGAAATGTCCCATCCTGTCGTTTTCATTAAAGTAGCCTCAGTGATCAAGCTAATTTCTTGGAGCTTACAAAGCAAAAACGCGAAAGTAAACAAAAAACAAAAAAAAAGATCCCACGTGACTAGGGGCATTGCCATCGCAATTCACTGTTAAGTATTCACGTAGGATTTTATAACTGTTTACTCGAAAGGAAAGGTTTATGTTAATGAAGCTTCTCGATGACACTGTCATGGTGTGATTCCATTATTTAGAGTCTTGTACAGAGCACTTTCTTATTTTGTTGGAGATCCCTTTAAAGTACCCGCAAAAATGTAACCTGCAAATTCCGACAAATTGTGCCTAGGGTTACGGTTACCAAGTAAATAATTACTTAGGTTTGTACTTTAGATATATTAAATACTGACTTGCAGTTATTTGTATCGGGAGGGTGCAATCGTATGCTGTTCGGGTAAAAAAAAATTGAATATACCGATCAGTTGTTCGCAAATAAACTTCTCACGAAGGGTGTCTTCACGTGGTGCATTTGTTACGCTCAAATTTCATGAGCTTAGGTGTCAGAAGAAAAAAATGAAAGCCGTTTACAACTCCCTGTAACGCCGAATCAGCCCTTGAGGAGGAGGAGGGAAAAGTATTGAGGGTCTCCTGTCCTGGGGTGGGGAGCCACGTTTACCTTACGGGGCTGTCACTTGGCCTCTGGGGGGGGGGGGGGGGGGGGTCACATGACCTCGGGGGGGGGGGGGGGGGGGGGTCACGCGACCCCCAAGACCGAGAAAAAATTTTCCGCTAGATTTGATTTTTTTTTCCACTAGATTTAGCGGGGAATTTTTTCCGCTGCATTTAGCGGGGAATTTTTCTGCTAGATTTAGCGGGAATTTTTTCCGCTGGATTTAGCGGGGAAATTTTTTCCGCTAGATTTGGCGGGGAAATTTTTCCGCTAGATTTAGCGGGTAATTTTTCCGCTAGATTTAACGAGGAAATGATTCCGCTAGATTTAGCGGGGAAATTTTTCCGCTAGATTTAGCGGGGAATTTTTTTCGCTAGATTTACCGGGGAAATTTTTGCGCTAGATTTAGCGGGGAAATGTTTCCGCTAGATATAGTGGGGAATTTTTTCCCCTAGATCTAGCGGGAAAATTTTGCGCTAGATTTAGCGGGGAAATTTACCCATAATGCACCGCGCGGTCACGCCAACGGCGACGGCGACGGCGACGCCGCTCAAGCCGGAAACGGGCGACTAAGGGCTGCGCTCTAAAAACAAATCCCATAAAATCTTGTTTGTCTGGTTTTGTAGCAAAGGGAGGAAAACGGTAAAAAGCGTCTGGTTTACTATGCTGCTCACAGATGGCGCAACATAAAGACCAAACGAGAAATCGTCTTTGATATGAACACTCAAAAGTAGATCCAGTATATCAGAGCGAGTGTGGTCCGTCTATGAGTGGCAGCGTCACCCAGACCCTTTCCCCTCGTTGTCCTCCCTGTGAATAAAAAAAAATATATATATATATATGGATTTTTGTGCCTATATTTCTTTTTATTGGAGTCTATACTCATGAAGTTTGAGTACTCAAACTTCATGAGTATAAGCTGATGTTATCAATGCATCACATAAAGAAACATTTGTGAAAAGTTCTAATGAACTCCGTTCATTGGATTGTTTATGCGAATATTTTACGCCCGAAATATCGCTCAGAAGCAGACTGCAGGTGCATGACGGCCCTGCTCGACGCTTTCTCCGCAGTGATGGAGGTGGTCGGACCACGTAAGAGGACGACGACAGCCGTGGCCTTCTCTTTGGGGTTTGCCCTGGGGCTCTGCGCTCTTCCGGCCTTTGCCTGGGTCTTCCAAGACTGGAGACAGCTGCAGGTCGCCATCTCCTTGCCCCTGGTGGTCTTCCTCGCCTGGTCCTGGTACGATGATCGCTTATCGTAACGCGGCGAACAAGTTCGTCTGCTCCTTGCGCGGCGGGTGCAATGTCGTGACGGCGTAAAGCTCTGACTGGAGGTTGAGCAGGCGACGTGGGCGTCGTCTGCCACTTAACCTTCTGACGTCTCGTCACTGCGGTGGCGCTGCTGTCGGCACTGCGCATGCGCAGATGCTACGCCTCGGGCGAATCGGGTTCCTGCGCACGCGCACTGCCAACACCCGGTGTGGGCACACGCAGGATTGTTTATAAACAGTTAGTTGGTCGATAGGGCGTTTTCACGTGACGTCAATTCACCATTTCTGCTGTCAGGTGTCAGCGTGACGATTATTACAAGTAGGGTTCCGTGTAGTTTTCGGTAACTACCGATGAACTCTGAAGCTAACCCACGGACTGGTCCGATCAAAATTGTAGAAAATCAAAGCAACCCGAATAGGAAATGCCCTTGATAGAGAGAGAAAAAAAAAAAAGTTTCACGGACAGAACATTGTTTTTTTATCTAGATCTTTATTTTGTTAGTCTAAAACTCAGCCCCTACAGAACTGTCCGCGAGACTGGTGCTTCTTCGAAACTCCACCCCTTATCTTTTTTTTTTTTTTTTTTTTTTTTGTATCGGTACCAGGATTTTTTATGTATTAGTGTCCCGCCGTATGTTTCCTTTAAAAAAAAAAAAAAAAAAACTCCACGCCCGTGTTTTTTTTTTGCTTTTTTTTAACGTAAGCCGTGATTGTTTGTTCGACACCCAAAAAGAGACCGAAAAGCACCGAATTTACGGGAAAAAATAAACCCCAATAAACCAACCCCGAATTAAAAGAAAAATACACCTTTAAATTACGGAGCCCTACTTATAAGCGTCCGTGCAGAACGTATTTGATAGTGCCAGATGAATTCTGGGAATGCTTGCCTTCAGCACGCGCCTGACAGCTCATAAAAACAGAATGGTGGACCTAACAACGTCAATGAAAGCAGCCTATTCGTAACACTGCCTGCTTTTGCCTTTTAGAGGACTGTTAGAAACACATCGGTTTTTGACAAACGGAGGACTCGGCCTTCGAGAATAAGGAAGGGGAAACTTACAGACCATGCTGACAGACACCACGAAGCTCAGAATGTGTTCTGAATGAGTACGTGTATGTGTGACGTCACGAGGTGCGTAGTCATAACGTCACGTAATGTAGGGATGTCACACGACGTCACGTGACACTGTGAGAGCACGTGACGTCATGATATCACGTGACGTCATGAATCTCGGTCACATGATACCATGACGTCACACACAAACATCTAGCACGTCACTTTGGAACACCACAGAGTGACGTGACGTTCCAGACTCACGTGATGTCATGTTGCCTCGTAACGGCTCTTCGTGACGGTCCTCCATGACGGTTTTCCCATAAAATTCGACTGATAAAACACATGGTGTGCTAATACTTCGAAGGGTGCGTTGTTTTTGCTGACTAACAAATATCAGGATGCGCTACAACGAACAAAGGACTCGCGTTCGAGCTGCTGTTTGTCACCCACCGAAGAGAATGACGCCTACAGAGGCGAAGTTCCGTCGTACACGTGATCATCCTTTCTTACGTTTTGGCACTTCCTATGGCATTGCGGAGAGGCGCGCTTTCTTTGGCTTTCTCACGGTGTACGTCTCAGGATCTTTTTAGGATTTATTACAAGTTTAACATCAAATTTCTGCCAAGGTTTGATAGAACAACGGCAGCGTTAAAGGGAAAGCTATACTCTGTCCCAAGCGGAACTTCCGCTTTAATACAAGCTGGAAAAATCGACGCCTGCACATAGAAAGCTCAAACTTTTTCCCAATGTGGACTGAGCAGGTCAGTTATACCAGGTGAAATTTCAAAGCACAGTTCTCTTACTGTAAAAAATGAGAGCAAAACACTTGCCAAAGTCAAGGTTGGCCGCGTTTGAAGACGATCGAAACAGTGGGGCTATTTGCTTGTGGCGCCATCTCCCAATATACGCAACGAGCCGACAACAAAGTGCGACGTCTGCTCGCTGCACCCATCTAGAGGTGGCGCCACAAGTCAATAGCATCGCTTACTCGGTCGTCGGCGAACAGACCCAACCTCGACTTTGGCAAGTTTTGTTTTAATTTTTAACGGGAAGGGAACTGGCGCTTTGCGATTTCACACGGTAAAATTGACCTGCTCGGTGCACATTCGGTGAAAGTTTGGGCTTTATATGTGCGGGCGTCGATCTTTGTGGCTCGTTTCACTTCAGAAGGTCTGCTTGGGACACCCTATATATATATATAGCTAATTATAGCAATCAAGCGGCAGTGATGTTTAGAGCCACTATAAACAAGCTACGCTTCAGGGTAATGACACTTCAGCCATCTTGGTTCTTAAGGTCACTGTTGCCAGTTGCATGACGCTTTATTTGAAATTGCATGAAACGCTTTTCCTTCCTCCAAAAATATGCTAAAACAGTTCGCGCAACCGAGAGAGAGAAGAAATAAACTCTATTGTAAAAAAAAAAACAAAAAAAAAAAAACGACATTGCTTGAGTTTTTTGACGCCGTATCCAAAGCTCAAAAAGTCGCATTTTGGAATTATAACTGGCGCTCCACTCTGCACTAGAGAACAAAATGGCGGCCCCCACAAGACAATCTGAAAATGGATCGTAGCGTTGCTCTAGGCTTAGCTTATTTAGGGTCTGTTGTGTTGCACATTGCATTGAGCTCGCAGACGGATATCTACCGCGAGGTAGGAAAGCCACGCATCTTGAGGCGATGAACTTAACCGTATATTTCGCTTGCGTCTCATTTGGGAGCGCCATGATGGCTGTAGACGTAAGCACTGTTCGTTTGTGGCGCTCCTGGTTCTGGTGAAGTTGGGCTTTATTTCTTTCGGCAGGTCTTCCAAGACCCTATGCGTCGATGAAGCGAGGAACGCGTCTGTTTAAGCCACAGGCACACTGCTGGTACATAACGCAAAAAGACACACGGCGTTCACTGCAGGCACTGCAGGTCGGTAGACCTCAAAGCAAGCTGTTTTGAAGTCTACCCACTATCTTTCGTTCAAAACCAATCAGAGCTCGGCATCTTTCTGACGTCACCACAACCCCTGCAAAAGAAGCAGACGAACTTGCGGTCCGCATATATATTCTTCGAACCTGTCTACTGACAGTTTTTGTTTTACCATCGTGACAGGACAGTGACACAAGGATGAAATGTATGCTACGCCTCAGGCAGTTTCTCTTGTATGCTGTATTGTCAGTGTGACCACGGCTTTCTTGTAAGGAATTTGATTGTCTTCGCCCTCAGGTACCTCCCAGAGTCGCCGCGCTGGTTAGTGGCGACGGGAAAGTTGAAAAGGGCACGGAGGGTTCTCCTCCAAGCGGGGACTGCCAACGGCATTGAAATTAAGAACGTGGACTCCATCATCGAGCAACTTCGCTGGAAGATTACAGAGGTATTTTATGGCCCACGGACTAACGTCACGAAGCGTCGGAGGGGAAAAGTTATTGTGTTTGTCATGAACACGCCGAGAAAAAAAAAACCTTTTTCTCCTTAAGTTTAGCCGATATCTTAATTTTGCAGAACTGGTCAGCTAATGTCCTTCTCAAAGGACCCCAGTTGACAAGTTTAATTTTATGTGTCTTCACCGACTGCGATGAGTTTTCTACTGATGAATTTGTTACAATCACGAATCTAATTTAAACAATATTGCAGACAGAATAAACGTGCAAGACGAAGACGACACGAGCACATCTTTCTTTCATCTTTTATGAAAGATGGCGTCGTGTCGTCCTCGTCTTACATGATTATTCTTTCTTCAAACTTGACCCGCACCAACGCGCTCTTCGTCCCTTAATCTCATTTAACTTGACCTTGACTAGTGCTAATTTGTGTTTTTGTTATCTAAGGCTGCAGTTGACATGTTATGACATCTTTGGGAAACGTTATCGTTTCGTAGGCAGTGATGAGATGCAAACCACCGTTTTGTCCATTACCGCTTTCAGTACACGCATTATTTGTTGCCCCAAAAGTGGACTGAAGTTAAAAACTCTAGTTAAAGTGCTTGGAAGCCTGTTTTTATGTGGAGACATCTTTCCTTGAGTTAAGTGCCGGTAACGCCATACCGATAAAAAAAATACACAGTAAGGAAAATGTTACCAAAAACCTACGCCTTTTCACAGAGAGACGGGCGGTGTGAGTGCACTTATATGAAATATAAAAGAAAAATATCCGGCGGTAAAGTAGTCGAGATGTCATTAATTCTTACATACGAGGGTGTCTGAAAAAAAAAAAAAATCCGCACAAGCGCTTCAGAACTTATCTCGCACAAACCTTTTGAAACCCATGTCTGTTGTGGATTGTTGCATAGGCATATCCTTGGCTGACTTGAAAATTATTTTTTCCCTCATCCACCGTCACTCGTGTATCCGACAGAGTCAGTCCACGTGCTCGCTTGATGTTGTCATCCCTCGCGGCCGAAGACGGGCGTCCGTCTCCTTCTTCATTGCTGACACATGCGCCGCCTTCCTTGAATTTGCACCCATTCAAAAACACTTCTCCGCGAAAGAGGACTATTTCACGCAACAGTCACAACCAAACTGACCTGACGCGTTCTAACCTCCATAAACGAGACTGGAGAGAGAGCGACCTCGTACGAAGAACAGAAGTTTTAAGATAACTGGAGTGGGAGTAGTTCTTAATTACCCTGGTAGAAGTGCGTACTAATGCACTTAAGAGAATAGCTAGACAATTCTATTGCAAATGTGAAACGCTTTATCATCACAAACGTTTAGCGATACTCTGAATTTCACAAACGTTCACGGCGCTCTTCATCATATAGTTTACCGCGTACCATGTGTACACTTGATAGTTGTTCCTAAAATGAAGCAATACTAGCGCTAATCAGGCTGATAAACCTGACGATCTTCGAGAGCCTTCCATACTCTCCATCTACTCTTTCTCAGTGCGCACAGGTGGTCGAGCTCCTCCTCGCCCACCCCATTCCTTCTCGCCAACCCCTCTGGTCACGTGACATCCCCCCTTAGCCAATCAGCGTCGAACTTCGCGGCCACGGTCAGGCTTCATAAAATGCTGAATACCAAGCCAAGAACGTTTCACGTTAAAAGGCTCGCCAATCAAGAGGAGCAAAAAGTTTTGAATGGCAGCGCTCTGGTTTTACAGAGCTCTAAATTAGTGTTTTGTTTATATCATACAATGAAGCGCCCACGTCGCTCTGCTATAGACCAAACAAACAAGGTACAGTCTCCGGCGATATGAAAGACCCACTGGGAGCGCGTGGCCGAGGCGGTGGCTGGCGGGGGCGCTGCGAGCGCTCCGGGCAGTTCCGTTCTGCTTCGAGGGGAGGACGCTCGAAGCAGTTCCGTTCTGCTTCGAGGGGAGGACGCTCACTCGGGGCTCAGCTAAAGCGCGCGCTTAACTGTTTGTGCTGAGCCCCGAGTGAGCGTCCTCCCCTCGAAGCAGAATGGAATTGCCCGGAGCGCTCGTAGCGCCCCCGCCAGCCACTGCCTCGGCCACGCGCTCCCAGTGGGTCTTTCATATCGCCGGAGACTGTACATATGAAGCCGCTGGCCAATCGGAAGATAACTGTATATACACAGCATCTGGTCAGGTGGTCGAACGCAACTTTTAGACATACTCATTTTAGCGCGCGGGAAGTTGACGTGTCCCAATTGCTCTTTGCACTGCCTCACAAAGATTAAAAAAAAAAATCTATTAGGCAAATTTTTTTTTTTTTTTTTTTTTTTTTCAGCAAGATCACGAAGCAGAGGAGGTGAACTGTTCCGACCTTCTGAGAACACGAAAAGTGCGGCGGTACAGCATCGTGCTCGTCTACGCATCGTGAGTTGAGTTTAAGGTTCCCCTAAAGCCGGGGTCACACTTTTAATCATACCGGCACACTCTGAGGCGCGTTTCTCCCTGTATTACGTTCCTCTCACCATCATCGTAAACACAATTTACTTTCCTCCTTTTTTTTCATCATTATCATCAGCGCTTAGAACGATCTAGTTTCTTATATTAGATGCTTTGATGTATACCTTTGAAACATGCCCATCCCTACGATAGACGAAATTGAACCATCGCGCAGGATGACGTGTGGAGCCGTCTTCTATGGTCTGCAGTTTTCGGTGACGTCACTGGGAGGCAACCCTTACATCAACTTCCTCCTGGCGGCCGCCGCCGAGTTTCCAGTCTGTCTGCTCTGCTACTGCACGGTGCGATGGTGCCGCAGACGACTGACCATGCTGGTCATTTTCGCCGTAGGAGGCGCCTGCTCCGTTGCCATCGGCCTCCTGGTGTTCGCTGGTAACGAAATTAAAAATATGTGACGTCATATTGCCACTTGGTTGGTGGCTAAACTATTATATAGCACGCTATATTTTGTCACCTGCAGCCTCTAAACTTTGACACCAACGCATGTTTCTGACGTCACGTCAAGGTGATGACGCAGATCCTTCGATCTTCGAAAAAAACAAGTTCACTCGCTTGCCCAGTGCCCGCAGTATGCACGTTTTGAAGAAAATCACTTTGTGTGTTTTTAGTGAACTCAAATCAAATAATCTCTTTGAACCGTCAAAGTGACAGCTGACGTTATGTTCAGAAACCTCTCGGGGCCCGTAAAGAAACCGGGCAAAACGTTGGTTGCCACAGTGTTGCCCTTCTAAGTTAATTTCTTTCTAGTTTTAACTATCTTTGTACTTTTCTTGAAGTATACACATAGTCATTTAATCGGACCACAAACGCCCGGGGCCCGCTTGAACACGTTCGGCCTTTGCTGGTGGAATGTAGACAGTTGAGCGAGTTGGTATGGATTGAACATAATTACAGTTGCGCACAAAAGTCTTCTTGTTCCTCCTCTCTGTCCCTGTCCTTTTGTGCGCAACTGTAACTTTGTTTGCTGGTTGGAATCAGCTGACTGCGTCTCATTTTCTGCGCAACTGTAAGTATATTTGCTGGTGGACATCAGCTTACTGCGTCCGCCGCAGTTCCACAATCATTCCCACAAAGAGTGTTGGGTATTTACAAACCCGAGGAGATCAGTTTTATAAAACTCCTTAGAAGTATTTAAGACATTCACAATTCTGGATCAGGGCCTAGAAAATATTGTTAATGTTTCAAAGAGTTTGTTGATTAGTGAGTTCATGAAAATATCCCCGTGCCGCACTTCATAAGACAACTCGAACCTGTCCCAATGGTAACCGAAGCTGAAACCTGAAGAAGAACCACATGGTTAGCAGCCGATGCAGCGCTAAGAGGCTTAGGTTTTTCAGGACTTCAGGAGAGCTGTGGGCTGCATATACTTTCCCGCAAATCAGTTGGGAGAGCCAATTGCTGCAATCTATAGAGTACCCCGCTGTAAAATAAAGCGAACAAAATCGACGCCTGCTAATGGAAAGTTCGAACTTTCACCGAATGTGTACTGAGCAGGTCAGTTTTACCGTGTGAAATTTCAAGGCGTAGCTCTTTTTCCGTACACAAGTGAGAAGAAAAGAACTTGCCAAAAGTTAAGATTGGGCGCGTTCGCGAACGAGCGAGTAAGCTACACTTTTTCTTTGAGACGCCATCTCCCAATAGGACCAGCGAGCAGAAAACGCTCTCTGTTACGTGCTCGCTGCGTCCATCGCGAGATGGCGGCTTAAGAACATAGCTTCGCTAGACTCGGTCGTCTGAGAATTCGCCCAACCTTGACTTAGGCAAGTTTTTGCTCTACTTTTTTTTTTCTTTTTATTGGAAAATAACTTTGTTGTGAAATTTCACACAGCAAACACTGTCCCGGTCACCGGACATTCGGTAAAAGTTTGAGCTTTCTATATGTATGCTCTACTCTCTCGCAGCTGCAGTGCAAGAGAGTAGACACGCAACCTTTTCTACAGTGTACAGACCAATAATCGCCGTTGGCGCGCTGTCATTTTTGTCAGTGATAATGCAAATAATGCACCTGTGCAAGCGAGCCGCACAATACTGACGATAATAATCACTGGACCAGAAGAACAAGGGAGACAAAGGACAGACACAAATCTCCAGTTTAGAAATTTGTTTTTGTCTTTTGTCCGCCTTGTTTCCCTTCTCCAGGGATTATTATCGTCATCTTTGTCTACTGGGCATGTGGAAGGCGTTCTGGGCATGCGCAGTAGCACTCTTTAGCGGAATATTAGAGGGCGCACACTCGTCCACGGACCAGCGACTCGAAAGTTGTATAGGCACAGGATGGCCTCGTCTCAACGGTCGGCACTGTGACCCAGGTCCAGAGCTGGCGTGGTTGCGCCAGTGCTTGGGCATCGGAGGCAAGGTACTGGCATCTGCGGCTCTCACGGTCGTCTGGATGTTTGCTGCCGAAGTGTTCCCTACCGTGCTGCGCACCCTGGGCGTCGGAGCATGCCTCGTGGGAACCCGCGTGGGCGGTGCACTGGTTCCGTTCCTCATCGAGCTGGTAAGGCCGTCTCCAGATATGCCATCCAGAGGTGGGGTTCCCACGATTTGCCCGTCGCAGAAATTCTCATTGCTGGAATCCATCATCAACAACTAGAATGACCAAGGACAGCCTCCTTTATACCTCTGTGGAACTTCATCGTGGTAGGGTGTCGCCAACTCAGCAAGGGGGCCCGGGTTCGACACCGTTCGTCCCTCTACGCACCGATCGGGCACGAGACCGAGTCAAACGTTGGCACAGCTCTCGTGTATAATTTCTGTCTGCGCTCAATTTCACCGTGATGGCGTAAAATTATTGTACACGGACTTTAATAATTCTATACTCCTTGTCATTTTAAGGAGAAAAAAAAAGTAAGTTTTGCCTATGGTTCATACAGGCTGCGAGAAATATAGTTTTTACAAGTTTTGGTCGTCGGGAGAAGAAAGGACCCGTTTGGCCTTTGGAACGTGCACGTCTTGATAAGATACCATATAGCTAATTTAAAATGCACCTACAAATATTTTATTTTGCTATATATAGAGGAGAAAATTAGCACTGCACCGTAAACATTCTCACTATTTTTTTTTTCTTTTTTTTTTATGCGCATGCGAGTATAGGTCGTGTCGAATCCGTCCGGATCCAAACTGACGATTCAGTTCCCGCAACCAGACAGGGAGGTGATATTTCCATGGGACCCTCTGTAGTGCTGACAATAACCTGAGAAGAGGGCATTACTTTTATGTTCCTTTTGCTTTTTACTGTCGAACAGTTTTCGTCAATTAAATATACAGGGTGTCATCGGGAAAAAAATTACAGGGTTGTTTCTTTTGCAAAAATGAACTACGAATCCCCGAAGGCTCCTTCTCCACCCAAAGGTGGCGCTAGAGGTCCGAACCAGATACCAAAGTTTCAGCACGAACCGATATGTTATTCAAAAGTTATAAGTGATTTTTTTGAAAATTTCAATGGGAAAATGGGGCCCCTTTTCGCCCGTTTCTCGGTTTCTGGTGCCTTGGAACTCCATGTATACGGGAGCTCTGTCGGCCACCATTTTTCCATTGGATTTTTTTGAAAATCACGTATAACTTTTGAATAAAATATTGGTTCGTGCTGAAACTTTGGCATCTGGTTGTGACGTCTAGCGCTTTACCTTTGGGCGGAGGATGAGCGTTGGGCGATGCCAAATTTACTTTTACGGTAAAAAAAAACACTGTACATTTTTTTTTTTTGGTGACACCCATGTACTGTTCCTTAATAGACATCTATAAACGGGGACAGTTCAAGAAACGCGAAAAACGCACGTTCGCGCTCCTAGCTTCGTCATTCGTCCTTCGGCGACCTTATCGGATAATTGAGCAATCTTATTGGCTACGGTGCGGTGACGAGATGATCGATAGACTCAGAACGCACTGGATTTCTTGAGCTGATGGGAAGTTAAGCAATAAAGGGCGTGGCGACTCCCCAGCATCTTATTAGCATCTCATTTTCGCCCCTCGGCCAGTCAGATTACGTGGCCTTCGCTGACAAGAACGCTGAAGACTCAATCACGAAGCAAGGGGCGCGAACATGATATGCCGTGACCTGCTGGCCTTAAAAGTGACCATCTAATGGTATTTGCGGTGAGAAGCTCGCTAGGGGCGCTTCGGTTTGCTTTTCTCACTATGGGCAATAAACGTGCTACACACGCGGTTATATTTTAATTTCCATTGTGCATCGAAGCTTGGCATTGCATGTGCCTGCACCAGCTGAAGAAGTTGAAGTATCCTCACTCTGGGTTGTGAAAAAAATCCACCAGGCGTTGTGATTCCCAACTTCTCGCCACTAATACTCGCAACGTAATGAATTAACATTAGAGAAAAAAAATCCCTCGTTTGTATACTATCAAAACAGTATTGCCCCTTAGATGGTTCTGGTCTTCCATAGAAATCGCAGAATCAGGAAACGTTTCGGAACCTTGTAGGTTTTTCGTCAGTCCAGTTAAAAACCTGATATTTAAAATTTAAAAAAAAGCATCACAAAATTTGTGTTTCTGTAAGTATATTTTATTTTATTATGAGGACAATAGAACGTGGCACCATTCTGTGGCCGCGTTTGCTGCGAATAAACGCGTGGGACCGGAGCTGTGATGTTGCGTGCAAGATATCGGGAAACGTTGCTTCGTGTGATTCCGACGTACTTCAAGCAGCGTTGAAGTCTTGAAGGTAACATGCACTTTGGTGTGATGTCTGGCGTCTGAAAACAATTTTCGCGGGAACGTCCATTGGTCTCAATGTAGCCTTTTACTTTCGCGAGACGTCGGCTCGGTGGTAACCAGGAGATAGGATTATACAATCTATTAAGCTTTGTTTTCGCCTCATCTGAGTGTGTGGCCAGGGTATAGCTCCCGTTGAGACTGGAACTATTACATTTTAGCTTTGGCGAAAATATATATTGTAATTATAATCGTGATGATGATAATGCTATTAATGCAAAGGTGCAAGCGAGCTGGACAAATCTGAAAATAAGCCCCGGAGTAGGGGAACAAGGGGAGACAAAGGACAAACACGAATATACAAACACAGCTATAGGTGACTTTTGCGGGACCAAAAAAATCCGCTTGATCTTAATATCGAACCAGGGGCCTGTCCATATCGAGTGGAGCACTTTACCGATTAAACTAACCAGGAGTTAGACGTCAGTAGAGCGAACGGGTTTCATCAGCTGCCACCATAGCTGGGTTCCGAGATGTGTGTTTGTATTTTGTCCCCCTTGTCCCTCTTCTCCAGGGAATATGTTCGTCATTATCGTGGTGCATCGTATTCTGATCAAGACTACTTTGATTTTGAATTTTTTATTGCATTGATCAAACTCAACGACTGCCTTCTAGGTTGACATTTCCGGGTGTCCTTTTACCGGCCCGAAAATCAAATTATCCTTCTCGGTGATCTAATACTATTTTAGATAGGCAAATACGATTCTGCAAATGCGTTAATAAGATGTCCGGTACCTACAAGCCTCGCTCGGTGTTGCTTCAGTTGTGACTTTTTTTCAAATTGTTTATTGATACCGAAGAGGGCAAGTTATCGCATTTCGGTATGCCCAAATAAGTTCACTCTACCTGCCCACACACTCCGATTTTCGTTTTTATGGGTTGGACATGTGCGGAAGAAATTTATGCGCTTCTACCTCTCTCTCTCTATATATATTTTTTAATTCCTAATCGTTTGTTAGTTTGTGTACGATTCTGTTGTAGTTGCCTGTATGTTAACTAATATTTTTAGGGGTGCGCGAATGCCGGTTTGAGGCGAAAAGCACTGTGTCATTCATAACCTTTAATGCGTCAATATTAACCGTTCGCACACTTCTACTCCGTTTTCTTCCTGTGATCATATAACTGGGATCTGTTTGCTAGCTTCTGCTCATTTGCTTGTTTTTTTCGTTGCCATTTTCCTGAGGATAATCATTCCTGTTTCAAGTTTCTCCCCGCTTTCGTCCTAGCCTGCCTGCCATTGTCTTTCCTTCTATGCGTCATTGTTTCCAACGATGTCTAACTATCTACACGACTTGCACCGACGTCACATCAGCCGCCATTGTGGTGACCCTGCTACCAAGGGCGTACCATGTGTAGCACATCTTTCGCACCATCAAATTTGGTTTTCTCGGCAAGCACGAGATAGGAACAACCACCTTGCAAAGTGTAATGACGTCGCGTGCAAACCGTGCATACAAGAGTGGTTAAAAAAAGTCAGATCAATGTGACCTTCGTTTGGGAATCGCACTCTTACACAGAGGAATTACACCAACGAGGCTGTGCCGCTAATCATCCTGGGCGGCTTATTCTTCTTGTCCGCCATTTTGGTCCTCCTGCTACCCGAGACGTTTCGGGTGGCCCTTCCGGACACACTTCACGAGACGGAAGGACTATCGAAATCCAGGTGAGGAAATGCCGAATCCGGTTTCGATTATTCAAGGCGGCATCATCACCTTCATCGATCATTGAGCTCCAGCTTTCATCATTGAGTCTAGCAGTGCCGTGATGAAGCCCCGAAGCCGCCATGTTGACGAGAAACGGGTCTTAGGCCGCACGTTCACCTGGTCCTGGCCTTAGGCCGCACGTTCACACTGCGCAGACATCTTACAAAAGACACGGCGTTCACTGCAGGCACGATGACAGAATTATGTGCAAACGCGCTTAAGAACATGTTTTCTTTACACATGTGTGCTGATCAAACACGTCTGCCGACATTTTTTGCGTGACCAATATATGTGACAGGGACATCGTACGAGGAAGAAACGCTCCTCGGACCTTAGGGAGTTTTAGGTAAACTGTTTTTTCCCCATCCGATACGGTACAATGGGCCCTCCGGTACGCACTGCGCATGCGCAAGTCTTATGCTGTAGCGCATGCGCAGTTCGTACCGGAGTTTGTATCATATCGAATAAGAAAATACGGCTGCCTAAAACTTCCTATGGTCTGCAGACCGTCTTTTCCTTGACGTAGTATCAGTGGCGCAACCGCTACTTTAGAGTTTCCCGATTATTTACAAAACACCGCATTCGACTTCTCTCCACAAACTATAATGATCTTCGGAACTGACGGAGGTCACAGAAAGGGCCTCACAATGCCATCACTTCTGAGGAGCTTGGTGCTCTTATTTGCGCATATATAGTCGAGTTTTCGGGAAGTGGCGCATTGTGTTGTGGAAACAAATCTCGATGCTGGCAGGAGGAACTTGACACAAGAAACCATCTAGAAGCATCAGAGTGGTGGGTGACATTTTCGGAAATCCAGACTGAGGTTTCCACGTGGTCCCTCTTGAAGTTCAGTGCGTTGTGCGAGATTTTTTAGTTGTCAAACGTTCCGTTGTCGCCAATCTCAACTTGCCTGACCAAAAAAAAAATATTTTGATTTTTTGTTCGGTTCGCAAATAAGCTGCGGTGACAGCCCAGGCGCTGCACGGTATGCTTCACCGATGCCACCTAGAAGACAATGCCTACACGTTTCTGACTCTCAAACGTCATCGCAAGTGGATCCAAACAGCGCCACCTAGCCCTGAGGTCCAGCAACGCCACATGGATGGATGAATGCATGAGGCTGAACCCTTTAAATAGGGCGGCGGCTTGCGCCACCTAGCCAGTGTTTTGTTTTTCTAACATTTATTTACCTAGTTTGCGTCAGTAGCGCCGCCAGCGCGCCATGCTGCGTCTCACAACGAGCTGGACGCTAGCACATGGCAACGCCAAGACGCACGCGTCTGCCACTTTGCGGTGAACTCCCGTTAGGAATCGGAGTGTGTGCCGCTTGGAGCGGGTCTGGGAGTCCACTAACTATGACGTCATGAGCAGGCCTTTGTCTTGTAGGTGATATGGGCTGCGCACGGACTAGACACAACCCTACTGCACACCACCCGTGACGCCGTATGACATCAGAGTGTCGGGTAATGTCGTGGTGTCGAGCGACGTCACCTGACACCATAACCCTATATTTAGGGGAGAATATTTTTCTTAATGTTGAGTGACACGATGGCGATGCAAATTCGACCTATAACAATCGAAAATCAATATAGTTCTGAAGCCAGCGAGCCTAATTAAGTAAAATACTTCGTGCTGCTATCTTAGAGTCGTACCTCCCGCATACGATGTATACCCGGCAATAACCCAATTTTAGTTTAGTAAAGCAAACTATTTCGGGGTAATTAATTAAATCTAAACTGATGTCACTTCCTTTGTAAAGCCTTGCACGTTACCTATGTGAAGGAACTACAAAACCACACCACGGCTAATACGAATCTTTCCCGCAGAGCTGGTGATTCGAAGAGAAACGGCGAAGCCTCACCCATTACCTGCGAGAAAATGCTGGTTGTTCCCGGTGATGAATCCCCTGCAGCCAAAAAGGACGCGGAATGATTGATCGGGAAAACTATCCCTGCATTTATTAGAGGTGCAAACGACACAGCAATCAAGCCAACGCCTACCTGGCTCACGTTTGTCGAGGTTAAAGGGCTGAGGTAGAACCCGCAGCGAAAGCTCGGGCAGGGTATTTTGCCACCGTTTGTACTTCCACTGATCGAAGATATATGGGGGAGGGCGAGGTGCCTCGATCAGTCTGGCGCAATGGGAAGCGAGAGTTCGTCTGCTTCTTTTGACCTCAGAAGGCTCTGGTTGGCTCTGATGGAGGGATAATGGGTAGACCTAAAGGCGGCTTGCTTCGAGGTCTACCCACTGTCCTTCAACCAGAGCCAATCAGAGCTCGGAGCCGTTCTGACGTCACCACAACCCCTGCGAAAGAAGCAGACGAACTTGTGCTCCGCATTCATCCGTCTGCTCACACTGCTCGTACGTCGTCCAAAAGACAAGGTCTTCGCTGCGTACATGACGACAAAATTGGCTGCGGACGGGTCTGGAGCGCGTTCGTCGTGTGTACGTGCTTCGTGTGTGATAGTATGCAACGGTTTCTCCGTTCTGTTTTGGATGTGACTCGAATGACTTCACCAAGTCTCTCGAGCGATGTCGAGAGACATCAATCGGCCATTGGTCGGATGTGGCAGTACCCAAGTTTACTTATGGCGGTGGCTTGACTGCATATACATATATATATATATATATATATATATATATATATATATATATATATATATATATATATATCTTTAAGGATGTAAGAACGTTTTAAACCATTTGCTTGTCGTATGGGACGCTATAAGCGAGAATTGCGCTATTCCGAGCATACAGGTTTCGGGGTAGAGTTTCACGTCCATATCTCAGGAAGCGTTTGTTGTTCTGTTGATGTTTGTGTTGCGATGCAAGACAGCCATTTGACTAAAATAATGTTATTGGGCGATAAGTGGGGAAAAAAACATTGCGGCGGTTATATCTTTCTGGTTACCAAATCCTTGACGAATTTGATTAATTGAATGGACTTTGATTATTTAAAACATAAACACGAAAGATTGAGGTAGATATCAATTAATACAAATGGAATGTTTTCCTACTTTCGCTCTCCTTCGTTCCCTCCAATAAAGTAACTTTTATGTTGTTTTACAGGGTACGAAAACAGAATTATTTACCAACATATGTTATTGCTTTTTAATAATCAGTACGCTCTCCGTGTGCGTTTGGTTCTGTATGCATTACATTGTTACCATGAACTGTTTTGCCATGTCGCATCACTCGGTGTCCTGCCATTTTTTGAAAATGAATGTTGATAAAACATCTGTTTTCTCCCACCGATATTTACGCCACTCAAGGAGTTTGCTTATAAGCAAACCCGCCTTTCCCGAGAAATCGTTGTACACGTATTGTTCTCACACTGCGCCTCAATTTTCCTATGTCCTAAACACAACCCCAAGATTCTCGGACAGGCGAGCGCCGTTACTACTTACGCCATCTATCGGCCGCTGCTGCGCCGGCGCCCGTAACTCAATGGACCAAAGCGATCTTTTTTTATACAAAGAAAACTAATCACTCAATCCCTTTGCACTTTTGTGTCACGTTTTAATACGTTTCCCTCAACCTCCACGAGAATTTTCGTGGCCCTGGGTTTATATTAAGTCTGGCCAAAATGCAACCAAACTTTTACTCATTGGTTCCTATGGCGAACCGCAGAAAATCACAGGTCTTTTCAACATTCGATGCAAACCCTAAGAAAACCACACGATCAATTTAGTTGCATTTTGCTATATATATAGCCAATGTCTCTAGCTCCATGGAAACAGTTTTTATTTTCAGATTACTTAAATTTAAAGTGGTTCCCCAGGGCTTTAAATACCAAAAAGAATCCACAGTTGGTGAGGAGACTCGAGGATTCAGTGACGTTGTTGCGTTCCTAAATACATTTTTTTAGCAACATATGTAATGTATAACAAAACGGCAACTACACTGAATATTTTCTTAATTGATAAACACAAAACCTAAATGCAGGTTTTTTTTTGTTGTCTTTTTTTTTTGTTCTTATCGCGTAATTAGCTCAAATACATTATACTTAAAGCGCTGAATAATTAAGGAGTCAAAGCGTTTTTTGATCCGAACTATCTTTTACAAAGTGTCCAAATTTCATTTCACCAGCTATTCCACTTCCAAGAATGGTATTAAAAATAAAAATGCCAAAATGAGTGGGCGTGGTCCAGACACTTTGGCAAACGGGACATGAAGAGTACCATTTATGGCGACATTTAGCACGCTGTTACTGCTAATTAATCAATCTTATGTAGGTTTGCTTCGCGTGCGCCCAAGAGCTTTTTTTTTTAAACGGCCCAGTATCTCTTAAGTCATCACAATCTCAGACGTCAAAATCAGGCGAAAAAGGGGTGTGTCCCAGAAATTCGGGCATACGCGCCGCCAATTGTACCATCAATGGCGACACTCAGTACTCTATAAGCCATAATAATGCATCTCCTCCAGTTCTGCGACGCATATGCCCGAGAGCTTTTGAAGCGTCCCAGAATTTATTTAGTTATCACTCTCCAAAGCTTGCCTCAACCGTCAAAATCGGCCAAAAAAGGGGCGTTTCCCACAACTTCGGGCATACGCGCCGTCCATTGTACCATCAATGGCGACACTCAGCAGTCTGTAATTCATTATAAGGAATCTGCTCTAGGTGTATGACGCGTATGCCCGAGTGCTTTTGAAGCGGCCCAGAATTTATTTAGTTATCGCTCTCCAAAGGTTGCCTCAGACGTCAAAATCGGCCAAAAGGGGGCGTTCCCCACAAATTCGGGCATACGCGCCGTCAATTGTACCATCAATGGCGACACTCAGCAGTCTGTAATTCATTATAAAGAATCTCCTCTAGGTCTATGACGCGTATGCCCGAGTGCTTTTGAAGCGGCCAAGAATTTATTTAGTTATCGCTCTCCAAAGGTTGCCTCAGACGTCAAAATCGGCCAAAAAGGGGGCGTTTCCCACAAATTCGGGCATACGCGCCGTCAATTGTACCATCAATGGCGACACTCAGCAGTCTGTAATTCATTATAAGGAATCTCCTCTAGGTGTATGACGTGTATGCCCGAGTGCTTTTGAAGCAGCCCAGAATTTATTTAGTTATCGCTCTCCAAAGGTTGCCTCAGACGTCAAAATCGGCCAAAAAGGGGGCGTTTCCCACAAATTCGGGCATACGCGCCGTCAATTGTACCATCAATGGCGACACTCAGCAGTCTGTAATTCATTATAAGGAATCTCCTCTAGGTGTATGACGTGTATGCCCGAGTGCTTTTGAAGTGGCCCAGAATTTATTTAGTTATCGCTCTCCAAAGGTTGCCTCAGACGTCAAAATCGGCCAAAAAGGGGGCGTTTCCCACAAATTCGGGCATACGCGCCGTCAATTGTACCATCAATGGCGACACTCAGCAGTCTGTAATTCATTATAAGGAATCTCCTCTAGGTGTATGACGTGTATGCCCGAGTGCTTTTGAAGCGGCCCAGAATTTATTTAGTTATCGCTCTCCAAAGGTTGCCTCAGACGTCAAAATCGGCCAAAAAGGGGGCGTTTTCCACAAATTCGGGCATACGCGCCGTCAATTGTACCATCAATGGCGACACTCAGCAGTCTGTAATTCATTATAAGGAATCTCCTCTAGGTGTGTGACGTGTATGCCCGAGTGCTTTTGAAGCGGCCCAGAATTCATTTAGTTATCGCTCTCCAAAGGTTGCCTCAGACGTCAAAATCGGCCAAAAAGGGGGCGTTTCCCACAAATTCGGGCATTCGCGCCGTCAATTGTACCATCAATGGCGACACTCAGCAGTCTGTTATTCATTATAAGGAATCTCCTCTAGGTGTGTGACGTGTATGCCCGAGTGCTTTTGAAGCGGCCCAGAGTTTATTTAGTTATCGCTCTCCAAAGGTTGCCTCAGACGTCAAAATCGGCCAAAAAGGGGGCGTTTCCCACAAATTCGGGCATACGCGCCGTCAATTGTACCATCAATGGCGACACTCAGCAGTCTGTAATTCATTATAAAGAATCTCCTCTAGGTCTATGACGTGTATGCCCGAGTGCTTTTGAAGCGGCCCAGAATTTATTTAGTTATCGCTCTCCAAAGGTTGCCTCAGGCGTCAAAATCGGCCAAAAAGGGGGCGTTTCCCACAAATTCGGGCATACGCGCCGTCAATTGTACCATCGATGGCGACACTCAGCAGTCTGTAATTCATTATAAGGAATCTCCTCTAGGTGTATGACGTGTATGCCCGAGTGCTTTTGAAGCGGCCCAGAATTTATTTAGTTATCGCTCTCCAAAGGTTGCCTAGACGTCAAAATCGGCCAAAAAGGGGGCGTTTCCCACAAATTCGGGCATACGCGCCGTCAATTGTACCATCAATGGCGACACTCAGCAGTCTGTAATTCATTATAAGGAATCTCCTCGAGGTGTATGACGTGTATGCCCGAGTGCTTTTGAAGCGGCCCAGAATTTATTTAGTTATCGCTCTCCAAAGGTTGCCTCAGACGTCAAAATCGGCCAAAAAGGGGGCGTTTCCCACAAATTCGGGCATACGCGCCGTCAATTGTACCATCAATGGCGACACTCAGCAGTCTGTTATTCATTAAAAGGAATCTCCTCTAGGTGTGTGACGTGTATGCCCGAGTGCTTTTGAAGCGGCCCAGAATTTATTTAGTTATCGCTCTCCAAAGGTTGTCTCAGGCGTCAAAATCGGCCAAAAAGGGGGCGTTTCCCACAAATTCGGGCATACGCGCCGTCAATTGTACCATCAATGGCGACACTCAGCAGTCTGTAATTCATTATAAGGAATCTCCTCTAGGTGCATGACGTGTATGCCCGAGTGCTTTTGAAGCGGCCCAGAATTTATTTAGTTATCGCTCTCCAAAGGTTGCCTCAGGCGTCAAAATCGGCCAAAAAGGGGGCGTTTCCCACAAATTCGGGCATACGCGCCGTCAATTGTACCATCAATGGCGACA